GGGGGGGGAGGGCAGGAGGAAGAATAACGAATCGGGCGTGCCGGTTTACCGGCGCGAAAACGCACCGTTGCGCGGACTTCAGTCGACTCGCATTTCATTGGTGACATTATACAACGCGTATTTAAGTAGACAGGTTTATTATGTGTAACAGTATTGCTCTGCTCGAACGATTCGTAGGTAACAGAACTGATAATATACGACCATACTTTGTATGCAGTTATGGCGAACCATCGATGTAACAGTTATTACGAGTCTATCTTGTAAGATATCCCACGTTTGGTTTGAGACACAAGGTATCGCGCGTGAGTGTTATTCGTATCACACGTAAGTTTGTGTAGTACCGCTCATGTACTGGCAATAACTGTGTATAAAAAGAAAAATGTACGTGTTTTGTAACACCAGCTGTTCGCCTGTTCATTTCCGTGGGCTGCTCGACCTGTTCATTGTTCTTCGCGCGAACGAACGGTACTACAAGCGTCTAATTTCATTCGTTACTTCCTTATGGCCTCCGAATGGCATTTAAGGGGCATTTAGGGGGGAATATATCGTAACGCTCGAACCGACTGTATATAAATAACGTACAAGTCGCATGATTTTATTGCGCAGGATCGCTATTATGTTACAGTTCCGCGAAGAAATCGGACGGATTGCCAATTTGACTGCTCGGCAGGTTGTGCACGAGTCGTTTTTGCCTGCCACCTTTCACGGGTTCGGTGACGTTCAGTGTCTCGAAGTATTCTACATTCCAGAACTTGATGTCGTTATTGTGCGAGGTGGATGCTATTAAAGTCCCGTTGTTGCTGATATCGAGCGCCTCGACGGAGAAGTCGTGTTGCCCCACTATACCGAGTTGGCGATGAGGAAACAGACTGGCTGCCCTGAGTGTATCATACGGGAACGATATATATCACACAAGATTGCCAGAAACGATGTAAAGTGTCGCACCCGATTGTCTCGGCACTTCACTCACCGAACTACTCCATCCTCCCCTCCGGTTATCACCACATTATCTGTAATCGGGACCATACAATTGATGGCCTTCTTTGTCACACTTGGAAATTCGTCCGAGTGCAATCCGAATTCGCCCCAGTTGAATATATACATCTTTCCTTTGCTACTAGCAGATAACAACTTGCTCTCGGTTTTGAATAAACCAAGGCATGTCAATTCCTCATCGTACTCCTCTGACTGCAGGCAAAAATGGATTCAAGTGTTACAATGCTGTAATGTGACTGTCATTGACTGACATATTATTGTCCGCAATACCTGTACATGCAACTTCCTTTCTGGTATGTTCAAGGTGGTCAGACAGCCATCGCCACTGGTGCATACCAAGTACTTGGAATCTGTTTTGGTTACCATTGCGCTGATGTACTCTTCTACTTCTTTCAGGGAAAATATTGGCTTGTCTCCCTTCTTTCTGAGGTCCCATACTGAAAACATTATTCGTTATAAAACTGTTCCCAGCTCAGGATTTGGGATCTACCTTCGAGCATAAGTTATTATTACGTCTCACTACACCACCATCGTCGCCTGTGGCAAACATGTGTGTGTTGATAATTGTCATTGTGTATATAGGGTACCTAGAATGCAATTGCATCATGGAAAAGAAGCTTGTTAACGCTTCCTAATTATCAATGCATCGATGAAGGTTGTATTGTTACGCGTTATACTTACTCGTGAGCCTTTTCATATAGCCTCGTTAATTTCTCAGTGTCCACGTCAGTTATTCCTATGCATCGATCCTTTCCAGCTGAGAATAACATCCGTCCATCCTCACTGAATTCGATGTCCCGGCAAGCTTTGAGATGCAATTCCAACGTCGAGACAAGATTAGTTTCCTCATTGTTATACTTATACCTAATGCAAATGATGAAATAAAACACTTGCCGTGATAAATATGCATAATTGAACGTACATAAAGATATCTCCCGTAATACTAGCTACCCCGATCGTATCTGCTACAGGATGGAAGCATATATCTGTTATCATATCCTCTAATGTAACAGGTGGAGGGTGATTTCTCTGTAATTCCTTTGCTTCTAACATAACTTCGCGAGAAGACTCTCAACAAGAGCACGAGTCAAATACGAAAGAACTTTCTCCGCTCCCCACGCACTTCGAAGTTGAAGTTGGGTCTAAGTTGAACTAAGGTTAGGTAAAATTAAATTATCTAAGGCAAGTTCCATTTAACATTCGCGATAATCGCGAGCATCATTCTGTCTTTGTTTAATATCCATGAATAACAAGGATAGAGTAAAGCTCACGATTGTTGCGAGCGTTAAGTGGAACGCATCCCTATCATTAGAAACTTTAGTACTTACAATATGCTATAGTACATATAATTTCTTTATTGGAATAATGATGTACTGTACTATTTAATTTGCATAAAATTAACTCTTATTTTACAACTAAATTTTCAGGCAAATATATATTTATTTTATAATTATTTATTATTGAAGCTCAACCACAGTGACGATCGGATTTGATCGTCGCTCCTTGTCTAATCGTCAACGTAGTTTACATCTTCGGCTGCTATTTCACGTGTCGTCGACGAGTTTATCGGATGTGCCGATTGGCTGTCGGATAGAGAATTTTCAAGGTCACTGAGATTTATTTCTAGACACCCTAGAAATTCTTTAGTTGACAGTCCGACAAGCTAGGAAATTACTTGCTGGGTAACCCCGAGTTTTGAGCTTCGAATTCTGCGCAAAGTATTTGACAGAAAATTTATCTTCTGCGGTACCGGCTTCAACTGGCCATCCCGTTCTCCAGATTTAACGATTCCTGATTTTCCCCTTTGGGGTTAGTTAAAATAATTAATTTATATGACGAAACCACGAGACACTGATAACCTGAAGCGTCGAATTGAAGAAGAAATCATGACACTGCGCGATTGTATCACTCGTGTTGGCAAACGCTTCGCTGCTGCGAGAGTAAGAAAAGTCATGCAAAAGAAGAGCGCCTTCTTCTCCTCCCCCTGAAATTTCGCTTACGATATAATTTATTGTTTCTATTTAAGTTAATTTCTATTCAATTTAATTTTATATCCAAATTATTTATTATACATAAAGTAATAATTTAAATTTAATGAAATCCTTTTTTCATAGATTCTTTTTTTAGTTAACATATCTATATTGACTGCTACCACCATAAAGTGCGAAGTAGAGCTTATAATTATTATTAATGTAATTGTATTTTTATCTATTTTCTTTAATAATTCGGAACTACGTAATAGTTCGAAAAATGATTTCGACCATGTTCTTTTATTTGACCTGTGATATCCATTTTATATGGTTTCAGACGTGTTACATGGGACACCTTGTATATAGAATGAACAGAGGAATCGATTTATGTTAAAAAAACATTATCCTATTTCATTAAAAAATTTCGAGTTGACCGTGACATGACTTTGGCAATGTTTTCCAGATGGATATTATCATTAACGAATATTGTGCATTTTTCAATCTTATAATTTTTATCTAAAAATTTTTTTTCAGGAATTCTGAAACAATTGCCTAATAAGATTAAAATGTATCACACTGTATATGTGCGCAATAATCGTTTGCTTTATCCAAAATATAAAATCATAACGATATTTTGCATTATATATTTTCCGGTTAAATCTTACAATAAAACTATCTAATAGACAATTTTTCACGTGTATAATAATATATTAAAGTAATTTTGCCAGTAACAAATACGGGATGTCACAATCTCCTAATCTCGGTTCCTATTGTGTGCAAGTAGAACGGATGAAACTGAGTAGAAAAGTCAAGTATCATTTTGTAAAATTCGCAATAGTTAGTCAGGAATTAATTATTATTAATTATTTTGACTGAACTACCCCGGAAAGGGGTAGGTTAGACTCTGTTTAAAGAAAAATGGCTTATTTTTGAAGATTTTTTAGTTTTCCCATGCGCTCATTAGTTCAGACAAAATAATAAATTCCGACAAAATAATAAAAAATAATGAATTCCGCACAAACTATTGCGAATTTTGCAAAATACATACATGACTTTTCTGCTCAGTTTTATCCGTTCTATTTGCACACCACAGGAACCTAGATTAGTTTGGGACACCCTCTGTATTAATATTTAGAATAATCTATAAATGGAAGTATCGTAACATAGACTTGTGCACGTAATTATTCACCTATTCACCGTAAGCATAGCACCTGAAGTATGCTAAAATTTAAATAGCTTGGAGAATTATACCTTTTCGGGAAGATATTATTTTAAAGAACTTATATACCCATATTATACAAGAAACATTTTCTTAAGAACAGAATAGTTCTTTCTTAGATCTCGACAACTTTACAGACTGCAATTAAAACAAATTTACCTTACGATATAAATAATATTGGGTTGGCAAATAAGTTCGTTCGGTTTTTTTGACTGGTATAAAATACAATTTATTTAATATACAAAATATATACTAATCAATAATGTATTGACCATTCTTTTCTATGACTTCTTGCCATCTTTTTACCAATTTCATAATCCCACATTCATAAAACGTCTGAGGTTTACCGGCAAAAAACTGATCCAGTTGCGTTTTAACAGCTTCATTATTAGCAAAGTTTTTCCCGTTCAGAGAATTTTGCAGCGACCGGAACAAATGATAATCAAAGGGTGCCGGTGAATAAGGAGGGTGAGGCAAAACATCCCAGCCAAGCCTTAACAATTTGTTCCGAATAGTTAATGAAGTATGGGGTCTGGCATTGTCGTGGTGGAAGACGACTCCTTTTCGATTTGCCAATTCTGGACGTTTCGAACGTATTGCTTGATTCAATTTCGTTAATTGGGAGCAATATACAGTTGAATCGATCGTCCTGCCTGATGGTAAGAGCTCATAATAAATGATACCTTTATAATCCCACCACACTGAGAGCATAATTTTCTTCGGGTGCAATCCTGCCTTCGAGGTTGTTTGTGGTGGTTCACTGCTGCTTTCCCATGATCTTTTACGTACTACGTTATCGTAGACGATCCACTTTTCATCTCCCGTAACCAACCGCTTCAAAAATGGATCGTTTTCTTGGCGTTTCAGCAGCGCGTCGCAGATGGAAATGCGAGCGGTTAAGTTGGCCTCGGCCAATTCGTGCGGCACCCAACATTGAGGCGAGAAACGTATCCCAACTGACACAAATGGTTTTCTACACTTGTGTGGGATATATTAAGTGTCGTAGCAATCTCTTGTTTGCGATGGATTTTTGTCGACGGTATTCTTTATTACAGCTGAATCAATCTCTGCTGGACGACCAGAACGGGACGCGTCACTAACATCAAAATCTCCAGAACGGAATTTGGCAAACCATTTTTGACACACACGTTCTGTTAAAGCATCGTCCCCATACACATTACAAATCTTCTTATGAACTTCCGCAGCTCGTTTGCCTTTTTTGAAATAAAAAAGTAAAATATGGCGAAAATGGACGTTCTTTTCTTCCATATTTGCAACCGTGCAGTACGCACAATACTCTGGTATTAACCGGCGTATGTTTACAAATTGGTTAGATGGAACGTCGCTTTTGAGCTGCGCAACCGCGTTGTGCGATAGCGCTGTGGAAAAGAGATAGCAGAACGAGTAAACCTACTCCGATTAAAAAACCGAACGAACTTATTTGCCAACCCAATATCATTACATATAAGAATACTACATTTTACGTACTTAATACTAAAGGATAAAATGCTGTAACTGACTTTTGTATTGATTTCTTTTTCCAACGTCGATGCTTATTTCGAATATAATAATATGTACAACTTCCTAATGATAAGACATATTTGTCCTGATTCTATAGAAATTAACGATTTAAAAATTCATACATATCTCTCTTTCTCTCTCCCTCTCTCTTTTTCTTTGCGCTTATCGTTTAAAATTCCGATATAAAATTTTTTGATATTTAAAAAATTATATAATTTACAATCATATATATATATATATATATATATATATATATAAATGCACTCAATGTTCACGTAATAATATAACATATACAAATTAATTAAATTATTAGCGGCAAAACATTATTACAAGACGCACTTAATGATTATTTACAAAAGGTTAAAGATGATGTAAACAATTTTCTGATACTGAACTGTACCTCTACGACCTAGTATTACCATATTGCCTACCGTTGTTAGAAGATTATCAAGAGATTCAGATATCTTGAACGAAATTTTGCCTAAAGAGTTCGTCCAACTTTATCACGTGCACTTATTCGCTAATTTTCTTTAATTTATATCTCAATAATTGCCTCAATAATTGATTGTTTGCAAAATTGTACAGAACTTTTGTCGTTCAGTTTGGCGAGTTTTGCATGCACACAAACGAACGTACACACTATTGTTAAATCCTATATATCATTTTAAAGTGTTGCCATTTCATATTTGATTACTCACAATTTATCGTTACTAACCACTCCAAATATATTATTCGTGTTATTTTTCTATGTTTATATTTCTTATGTTTGCTAGTTCTTGTAAGCAGGTTATATAATGAACCGGTAAAAATACCGAAAAAAGTCACTATTAACAAGATAACAAAGATATTAACGAGAGGCCTACCTCTAACGAATTTGATCATGACATATGTTATTAAGGTTATCTTCTTGAATAGGATTTAAAAGGTTTTAACCGTAATTACAACGAATTTTGCAAAATAATATATGACTTTTCTACTGAATTTCACTCGTTCTATCTGCATACCATGGGAACCGAGAATGGCTTGGGACACCCTGTATATATACTTTTCAAACCTGCAAAATATTACGTCTCAATATCCAACTATTCATTGTTAATGAAAAAAGATTTTATACGACGTTAACGTATTTTTCTTCTATTTACACGTACATCGTAACATCTACATAATAATAATACATAATAATAATAATACTACATAAGTAATATACGATAGACTGATCAATTTAATAAGACGAACATTTTTGATAGGTTGTTTGTGAATATTAGTTGAATAACGTATTTAGAGATCCTGGTATACGTAAAGAATATATTAACAAAGATTAGTGATATGTTTGGAGTGATAGTGATGAATAATAGCTTATTCTCAATATCATTTAAATGAAAAATTTTAATATAAAATTACAAAACTTTAAAATGATGTCTTAGGAACCATATATACGACGTGTGAAAGTATTTTTAATGTACAGATGATTCCGGATTTTATTCGGTATAACGTATAACAAAATCGAAATAATCCGTGTAACCTTTTGTAAATAATTATCACGTGTGTTTCTCTGATTAAAATTCAGCATGTATGTATAGCTGAATGTAAGTACATGTTTTAAATATGCTTGGACCCTATGCTTTTAATTTTCGTAAACTTTAATACTTTATTATTCTTACTTTGCCAAACGTTTTTCTTGAATCTTGAACACAATTAGTTAAGCTTTTATCTGTAAAATCCAATTAATGAGATGCAATTGATTTACCCTACGCATTGTAACGAACTATATATCGTACAAAATCACTCGTTATCACGTATGCTGTGGTATTTTATCATTCCACTCTCGTTCGGGCCGAATAAATTCCAAATCGCTGCCGTCTTCAGAACTATTATCCTCGTCAAAATATGGTCTGGAAGTAACTTCATTGTCATTCACGGAATATCCTGGATTAAGATAGGAATAAAAAATGTTAGTACAATACATATATCATAGGTATATATATACATTTATACATTTATATATTTATACATTTTTTAAATCTCAAAACTTTTCTTAAGTCGCAAAATTAATTCGACACGGAAACTTTCTTTCCAACCTCTTTTCTCATGATTTTGTCAATATTCATTTTACAATTACTTATTGATTGTTTGAATAAAAGAAAAGTGTTCGTCCAATTTTACAAATGTGCTGAACCGATCACAAACGTCATTTTGTGGATATATTTTTTTATTTGAAAGTATAACGTAAAAAATTTTGGCATGTTGGCTCCAACGGCATGGACATAGTAGGTTTCTGTTCTCTTTGGGGTATTTGAATTTTATATTCAATTAATTCCATACTTATAATAACGAGTCAGGTGTGGTTCTGTAAATTTTAAATAGAATTTTATCAAATTTTTCACAAATTCAAATCTTTCTACCTCCCTTAATACTCTTTACCAAAACTTATCAAGTATTAGTATATCAATATTATTTTGTAGTGTTATAATACAAGTATCTACCATCCATTGGTCTTCGAAATATTTCAATTTCCTTCTCGTCATCATCGAAGAAGCTGGAACCATTCTTCAATGGACTAAATGCATATCCTTTTCTGCTCTTCTCGGAACTTTCTGAAGACTGGCATTGCGTGCAGATACATATGCTACATAAGACAATGCCAAAACATATTGTGCCTGCAATCACATATCACATCATACCGCGAGTCTGTTTCAATGATTGAACAAAAACATTTCTCTCACTTCGCAAATGATGTCAATCGACTTAATGGAATATTCGCGACTGACTTACGTACCTGTCAACATAATGAACGCTAGTCTAGGCATTCCCATGATATTGTCGTCCCGAATAAGCTTGAATACTAGCCTCGAGGACTTCTTTGCGTCGGACGTGGACACGAGCTTGGTCTGTTTAATATATCCGGATGCCATGACAGTTATATTGTGGCTTCCTGGCCGTAGAAGAATCGAATAGGCGCCCGTTCTTCCGTTCTTAATCTGATGCGGTGATTTGTCATAAGACAAAATGACATTTTCTATTGGCTCGTCGTTCTCGTTAGCGATAAATCCTTTCACGCCTTTACTTATCTCCTCTATGCAAGCCAACAAGCTATCTTTGTTCTCTTCCCATATGGCAATCGAGTCGTCCGTGGTGCAACAAGCGACGTATACATCCATCATTAGGGTACTCGTATTGAAATAAGCGTAATCCACTAAAGGATTTCCTCTTTTCCCACCAATTCCTGCTCCCGCATGTGTCACGTTATTATCGTCGATATTCAAGTTTTCCTCACACTTCGAGCTCGCAGATAATTTGTTCGTCCTCTCGTTGACGTAAATCTGCGCTAAATGTTGCAGCAAGTCCTCGTCGGCGCTTTCATACATTTTGTCGTGCGTCTTCCCGTAGTTATTCCCGAATGGGATTTCAACGTGTCGCGAGCCGCTATTGAGATTCACAGCTAACACCGCGTTGACGTTCCTGAGCCAATTTGCGATCGTAGTCGCTTCATTGTCGAGTTGATCGTGGATCGAAAACTGCAAGCCTTCCAACGCCGGTGAGCAAATGCGGTGATTGTCGTCGGAATCGGGGGTAAAGTCCGGTGCTATGTATATTGAGAAATTATTCACGTAATTCATAACTTGGATGCTCTGTTTATAACGGTCCAAGAGGAACGAGGCAAAGTGCAAGAGTACTTCGGACGTCACCGATTCGCTGCGTAGCATGCCGGCTGAGAATATAATGGCGGGTCGACCTATTTGCTTCAGGTCATTGTCGGAGCCAATTTCCAAACACATTATCTCGCCACCCTTCGCACTTCTGCCGATGGTGTGTAAAGTCGTTAGTTGCGGATGCTTCATATTCAGCTCGCTCAGAGCGCGATTTATAGTACTCAAATTTTCAAGCACCACCTTCGCCTCGTGACTGTCCTCCTTCTGCGTCGCTTCCTTTCGTTTCAGTTTGATATCGATGTCCGTTACGCTCTCCTGCTTCACGTGAACTTTCAATGTTCGCGCACTGTATCCTTCACAGGAGACCGTTAACGTGTAATCGCCGGGTACGAGTACCATCTTGAAATAGGCCATGTTGTTTGACACTTTGTAACTTTTCTCCCCTATTTGGACGGTAGCCTCTCGAAGCGGCACACTGAGCTCATCCGTTACTGCTCCGCGGACACCGCTCGCGAGACTTTGCACGAGTTTCATCAGTGGTTGCAGATTTTCACGCCAAATCATAGGAATGAAGTCCGCGGATGGATATTTGCAAGAGGACAGACTTATGCTTATCTGCAAATAGGCGATTATATTCAACATTAGAATATTATGTAATGTTTAATTGTTAGCCCTGTGGATGACTAATCATGACAAAATATTAACGGCCTATAAGAGTTTAATCGCACAACTGTGTCGCGGCGATGTACTATTTAATTATTATTGTGGAAAGATAAATATGGGGTCAATATGCTATTTTAATTATCTCAGAAATTCGGGAAAGTGTTAAGGGGAATTAATTATAAGAAATGGTGGAACTCTGGATTCGTTTAACATGGAAGATTCAATGTATACATTTGTATACATTTGATAAAATGTATAATATTTGTCCAGGAGAATTATCCAGCGTATATATTATTACTTGTTAAAAGATTTATATCTTCCTAAAATAATTTAAATAGTATATCGCTACAATAGCAGCGATTAGGCTCTTATAGGCCCTTGCTCTGCATCTTGTCATGATTATACGCTTAGTAATATCGTAAATAAATAGAAAATGTTAAGAAGATTAATAACCATACCACTGGTGTATTGTATACGCGTTGTATAAAATTCACCAAACGTTGTGTATTATTGTTCGAATAACTATTCATTTCTTTATGCCTCGAATGTTCATAGTCCTCAGCGAGTGTTTTAAATATACCCAGATCGTCGTACGAATAACTAAAAAAAACGGAGATTTATTTATAAAGCAGCTATATATAATTTTCGTTTCTATTAATTATGTGTGTATATATATATATTTTTTTTTTCCTTGCAAGGAAAAGAAGTAAAACGCTTGTCGTTTGAGTTTTATATTGGGTTGTTTGATGAGTTCATACGGTTTTTGCGAAGATTTCAAAGCCGATATTTTTTTAGTTGGGTATAACTTTATATATAAACTGACTATTTTTTTCGATGGCACATCATCGGAAAAAAACGATTCAGATTTTTGGCCAAACACTTACTTTCAAACCACTGTGCTATGGGGATATCAGCTTAGTGTTTTTCGTAGGAATTCGTGAATGAACTTATATCCAACAACCCAACATACAGTCATATATTGATACACCTATACGTTACCTAATTTGCGAGGCTCCACCCCCTAATATCACGATGATGTCGTAACTTTCGGTCTGTAGCATTCTCTTAAATGCACTTATAATCGCTTCTATGCGTTCAGATGCGTTGCCCCCCGATAATAACTTGTCTCCTACTTCATCTCTGACTATAGGATTGCAATCTTTCATCTGTTCTATATCATCGAATCCTGCATCAACGCCGGGAATAAAGTGCAATATAGAGTTATCCAGTATCCGTTGGATAGGTGGACTTCCAATTTCATTCCCCATAAGGATATGCGTCGCCAAACGCAGCAAGATTTCCCTACCCGCCGGCTGGGAAGCGAATAATCCTCCCACTAGTGCAATGCGGAATTTATTTTCGTCAGGTGATCCGATCTAGAAAATACAATTTTTTATTTTAAATCGAATGATCTGTAACACAGTTCAGATCTGTAATGCAGTTGCGCGAAACCAAACTCACATCATGCGTGATCTTCAATGAATGAATAGCCATGCTAATTAATGAATCACCGGCTATAAACTCTGCGACATCAGGCTGATGATTCTCCAACTGACTGAATCTGGCGCTTAATTCTGAATTCTTTAAATAACCGTCCAGCAAATTTGCTCTCAAGCCAAAATCATATGCGGAAGACCTATAATAAATGTTTGTGTGAAATAACAATTATTAATATTTTTAATAATAAATAATTAAAAATAGACGTGTATGTGTTATGTACATCCACAGAATATACAGAGCATATATACCTAGATTATGCATGGAATGTACACTATATATACATATATACATGCATGGGGTATTTTATGTACATTATTCCATTTTCATTCGCACATACCATGTACATGTATATGCTATGTATATACGCATACATGCATATACTATGTATATACGTTGTATCACTAGTGTATATAAATAATATATGCAATATGTATCAATGTACATACATAGAACATATGTACATCCAAATGTTTTGTGGAATATTATCGAAGCACATATATGCTTGTAGAACACGTTCAGTGAGTCATAGAATCGCCTAAGTAATTGAAATACTAAGTTTTCTACATTTTTTTATAATCTACACTTAGATTTAATAAGAAAAATCTTGGTGATAAGGACATATTTTTATACTATATAGTGTAAATAGATTAATTTTTTACTTAGGTCAATTTGACCTATGAGTGCCAAACTAGAGTTAACATTACATACAATTTGTGTAACTACTTAAATAATTATGCAATGTTACTACTTGAATAATTGCAATATTTGGTTCTTCTTCACAGTCTACTTGAGTTATCTTGAACTATCTTTGCCAATTCGAAGAAGAAAAGATATTTAGAAAAGTATACCCCAGTTTATTCGAGGAATTCATTGGGCAGTTGCTGGCCAGCTTCCCACCTTTTCGAAAACATTTTATTTTCACAATGCGTACGCGTTGTTAAGCGAATATGTTTCGCATAAGTTACATTTTAAAGAAACATCATACCAGTGTAGAGGATCATCACGCATTAGTGTGAAGTCCAACATTACTTCTCCATCCTCAATATTCTCACCATGAGGTACGTTAACAGTTTGCGTAAGCGCTTCGTATCCTGTTGCAATGACAGTTATGTTATATTTCCCTGGCACCAACAGTCGCCAATAATCACCTCCTTCGGCAGTATAGACGTCGTGCTTTATATCCTCTACTGAAATCCTGGCGTGAGATATAGGAGTGCCAATAGATGAGCTCACTGTACCATGCACACCTTTACGAGACTGTAAATTAAGTGCGAGCATGATCAGCAAAAGGAGAATTCTATCCTATGCAGGGACTGATTACCGAAATTTCTTCGTTAGCGATATTTATAACAGTATTGTATATACTGAAATTATTTAATACCAGTATTATATAAAAATTTATAATACTAGTATTGGACAACCAATACCGTTATTACAAGAAATTTCGCATAATACCGATATAACGTCAATATTCAATTTCAGTCAGAATGGACATCAATATCGGTATTATAGCAGAAATTTTATGTTATAGATATTAACATAAATCGATTTTTTTCCGAACGTTGTGTAATACCAAGAAATATCGGCATGAAAACGATATTTTTGATACGGTTTCAATCCCTGATTCCAAGTACACTTGAGTGTACACTTCTTATATACTTCTATAATTGCATATTCGTTTTCTTAAAGCCCGACTTTCTTCGCTAACTGTATTGATCTTGTGACGTCATGGAATGCGTTCGGGTAGTGCGCTATTAGCGCTGATAAGCGCTAATATTCCATCCTTGTATATCCAATGAGAGACAAAGATAAAATGACGTGTTATCGCTGATAGCGTTTTCCCCGAATGCAGCGATAGATGAGAAATGCCACGCAGTAAATTTCTTGCACTACATAGCTTTATTTTTTAGTTTTCGTTGAAAAATGATCCGTAATTTCAGGAATTATTTTGCGATTCTGCCAGAAATTGACGTTTCGGCCAGATATCTCACATTTTACAGGTTTCAGGATTACGAAACCAGTATATTTTGTAGGGAAAACTAAAAAATAAAGCTATACAACACAAGAAACTTACTGCATGTCTTTTCGCCTCGACGTTACAAAACCAATATGGTTTGCGGAGAAAGTCGAGTTTTAACGCATTGGTAATGGATAAAATTTCGCTAAAATCTTGCACGCGTACTAAAAAAAACGAGAAATTTCGTTTCCCATCGTCAAAGCGTGCTTGTGTGAATACGAGAATTCCCGTTTCCCGTCATCAATGTGTTAATATCGAGAAAAGCCGTACCATCTCGATATAACGAAGAAGGGGCTCCCTATTCTCCAGCCAATAATTCGGCAAGTCACTCGCGTTTGGGAACTTGATACATCCAATTTCTAAAGTAATCTCAAAATCGTTGCTGTGTAAGTAATTGTAATCTTGCATGCCGCCGGAGACGGAATACCAAGCGGCGCCGTTGGTTATTCCACTGGGGAAACGTTCTTCAAGGAACGTTTTCGGACCGTAGGGTTTCATTGGCGGACAAGGCTCTCCAAGGTGCATACGAGGATGAGCGGAGGAATACGTTAATGCCAACATTTTGAAGACGTCGTTGTCCGGGCTTGGGTTCACGGTGTTAGTCAAGAATTCCGGCCCGTTGTCGTAAGGATAATTCGCAACTAATGCACCTCCATGAAGATTAGCAGAGAGTACGAACGGGATTTTCGCTATCCAATCCATCACGGCCTTAGTCTCAGGTTGCTGCTCTCGATTAAACTAAAAAAAAAAAAAAACAAATACAACTGACGCGTAAGCATGGCCTGCTCGGTTCAATTGGCAATTAGTAGCTTCAATATGCTTTAGCGCATCCGTGTAAACGGATACTAAATATTAATTACTCATATATTTATAGAGTGCTGTGTCGACGTACATTGTTGATTGTATAATGGTCGGGAAAGTTTCTATTGAGATCCACACCCTTCGCATTCGTTCTGCCTTGTTCTCCGGAGACGTCATCCTCTTTGGAAATCTCATATCCGTCGGGGTTCATGCTCGGTAACACGTGGAGTCTAACCGTCTCCAGTATTCGTGTAACCCTCTTGTCGGTGCCGTAATTTTCGCAGAGATATCTCAGCAGTAACAGCAGCATCTCTCTGCCCACAACTTCATTGCCATGCATATTCCCGACGTATTTCACTTCCGGTTTCTCAGAACTGTGTTTCCCGGGATTCTTTGTGATTTCCATAACGTACAATTCGCGACCCTCCACGGAGGATCCTATGCTGTAGAGTCTCGTGATATTAGCGTAATTTCCATTGAGCTCTTTCAAATACTTCTCCATCGCCACATAGTTGTGGTGCTTGAATTCTACGTTATGGTAAAAACCATATTTGTCAATAGTTCTTATTACTTCCTCAACGTCACCTGCATTGTCGCCTGTGTCATAACGAATACATAATCATTGTGTTTGTCAAAATCAAACAATGAAATAAAAAAGTAATCGTTTAACATTAATCATTGGAGAGTTTGTGTATTATAAGCGATGTGTATAATAAGAGATGTTGATTGAGAAAAATTAATGTGTGCTGATGAATGATGCTAAATAATACTGTACTGTCAAGATACTGTCATAATTAAGTGAAATATAACATAAGGTACAGAGAAAATGAACAAATTAATGCATGTAAATTAAACATTTATAAAAAGCAATATGTACAGGTATGAGTTTAAGAGGAAAAGGATATGTATCGAGAAGAGTTACTCATTGGTCAAGATGAATGCAATTTTTTTTTATTTCTAGTCTTGAACAATACATATTCTTGTAGAGAAAATATTGGAACGTATACATAATACAGATAAGATTATAATTATCGCCCATTGACACATTTTTATGTTTACGTATAATTTCTAATACAATAAATTGTATTTTGGCAGTACTATGTACTTTACACGTTACATGCAAAGTACAGTACATTTTTTTTTCATTTTGTATACTTGCGGTTATTTTGTAACAAATAAAGAAGACAAATT